AAAAGCTGGTTTTGGACCTGTAAGGGCTAAACTGCATGGCCAGAGAACTGTAAATCCAAGTTAGTTTGTTGACCGTAGATATAATGACGAATGTGCTCATCCCCTGCTCTACAGGCATAGTATGAACAGATAGTTAAAATTATTTTTATTCTACGAGCATATTTTTAAGATTTATGGGGACTACTGCATGCATTAGGGACTATTTTTCCATGTGCTCTGGTACACAGAATTAACACACCCAGACAACCATGCATACACAGCTGCTGTGTGCTCATTCCCATACACGTTTACCAGATGCAACAAAAACTCCATTTTTTCAAAATCAGATATTTTTGATGCCAGACAATTGCCACCAATTCAGTATCTCTTGCACTCCAATGATACAACAGTAACTTCAGTAAAAACATGTAGTAGCTGTACGTTTTAAAGTAGCAGTGAGTATCAGTGACATATTCCTTTTGACAGACAGCTACTAGTACAGAATAAAGGAAAGGATAAGGGCTATTCACAGACAGTGCAGATGCCCACTGACATATAACTTTCATATGAAAATAGAATCTTCTAAAAAATCACCCAGCTCAGTGAGCATATCTTAAAAAGTGTGGAAACATCTGGGGAAGAAAATACTAAGGAGTGTGGATTTTAAATAAAAGGAATTTAGAATGAGTCTCTCCCATCAGTTGTCTTTTTTCAGAAACACAGCACAAGGTACACCAACCAGCAGAATGACTGGATGACATTACTTCACTTTGATTGCTTCCATAGCAAAAGTCATTAAGAAAACAATTTATGTATGAAACCTGAACACATACGTATCAAATGGCTTAAAAGCTTTCATCGGTTAGCAAAACCAGACATCTGAGAGATGGAGAAATTAACGTGTAATGGAGATATTAATTACTTTATTTTTTTACTCAGATAGGCAAGTCTTGCTTGCATCTGATGCCAGGGAATCTGAAGAAAATAACCACCCCCTGCAAAATAATTGCCAAGTCATCAGGACAGGAACTAATCTGCATTACCAGATCAGACAGTGAAAGAAGGTATCCACACAACTGCTACAGCAATTAGCAAAAGAAATCTAACATGTTCAACTGCATGTGAAAAAAAATTCTACAGGGAAAGGACCATAGGATGTAATAAGAGCGTTCAGAACGGCTGAATTTGGCTTTCTATGACAAAGGTAAATTCCACAAACACACTTCCAAATACTGCAAAACCAGTATAATGAACTCACTTTAGAAGAAGATCTTCAAAATTTAAAAGGAAGAAATGACCTCCATAAGCATATCTGATTGTCATTCACATAAAATTTTGTTCCATGCGACACGTTTCTATGCAGGACGGTCATTCTATGATTAATCATGGTCCCTCTTTCCTCCTTCTGAGTCAGACAGGACATTAGCACAAGAGTAATGGAAAAAGATGAAGAATTTTAAGCAGTATACACAAAAAAACAGAATAGACCTGCAAAACTCATGTCATGAGAACTTCAGATTAGTTTTCTGAATACAGACATACCAAACTGGAGAAGGGAAGAATGTGCTGCAAGGGTCACACAGAAGAATAGAAAAACTAGTGGAAAATGTTCAGGATATACCCAGGAACACATGCACACAGAAAAGAAAAAGAAAAAAAAAAAAAGAAAGAAGAAAAAAAAAGTGAAAGAAAAGAAAAAGAAAAAAAAAAGAAGTATTACTATTCTTTCTGTAGAGAGTTCGTTATCTTACAATGCCTAACCAAATGTCCATTAGTATCTACTGGAACTAGGTTAAAGAGGACAGGATGCAATTATGATAACGTAAAATATTTGTAGTCATTATCAGAATGTAAACTATGAAAATATTCATGTGTGGAAATCCCATTTTGCTTTATTTTCTCTCCCAAATCCAAAGAAATCTTGAGAAAATCATGACATAGAAGTGATGCTTGTGATGCATAAGTAAGGAAAATGCATTAGCTCTCATTTATTTCAGCAGCAAGTCTAGCCTGCAAACTACCACCAACATACTTTTTTAAACAAATCCCTTTATTTTTTCAGGGATGTCAGTGAAAACAGTTTTATTGACTTACAAATTACAAACTTCCAGTTAGTTCCCAGTAATGTAAAAATGAGGTAAAAACAAACTGACATGGGCAGAAGTCTTCTGTTTGTGCATGACATACATCATCCTCACTCTTGTAGCTCTTCTTAAACCCTCTAGCTAAGACACCCCATTTTGGATGAGCTTGTCATCTGACAGTGACTGTAACTTCAGTGAGATATCAACTCCCGCTCCTGAATCCTATCTCTGAAACACACTGACATTTGGGTGCCAGTTTCTCTCACAGAAGCCAAATGCCACTTATAACATAACTACCAGCTACTTACATCTAAAAGGCAGATACTCTGAGCTTTCACCAGTTTTCCACTGGCACACTTGCTGTCTAAGTTGATAAAAGAAGTACTGGATTGACTGGTGGTCAATCTATCAGGTAACTCATCTAAATAACTATACTTTTAAAGAGCAAAAAAATACTTTTAAGTTCAAATAAAAAATACCTAGTTCAAATCTGGAAGTTAAATTTGTAATTGGACACCTGTATACAGCCCTTAAGAGCTGGGTGAAGAATTAGATCTTGAGGAATGAGGTAACAACAGGAAAACTCATTTTTGCTGCCATTCTAACAAAATTCTGTTTTCAAATCCCCTTGTCTAAATGTCAAGTGCTAAAATAAGTACTAAACTGTTATCACAGACACCCTTTACTTTAATTCCCATGAATAGTAGTCATTTATGATCATGATTAGTCAGCATACGTTTTTTTACCCAAAGATGAAATTTCATATGGGAGAATAGATAGGCTGTTGTTGTGGTTTTTTTTCATATTTGGTTGCAATATGGGTTTTTACATTTGAAAAGATTATGCTAAGGCTGTTTAAAATCCCCTACAGACTGCTAGCACAATCTCTGATTGCTTTGTTCCCTAGCAACATGAATAATTGACAAAAAAAATTCCCTCTCACCTGGCAGTTTCTGTTAGTTCAGTTTTGAACCTCTCCAGCAGCTTTAGGAAGAAAAGGTGCTTTCTCAAGCCAGCAATTAAAAAAGATAACACTACGATCACCATTTTTTCTGGCCACATATTTTGCTTGCAATATCCAAAGCTGACATAAAATTAAGAATAAGCAAGTTTTGCTCAGTTAGAAGAGAAAAATTGTATTGTCCCGAGTCTGTCCAAGGCATGAACTGCCAGAGCACTGTGGGCAGCCTTCCTGATGAGTTGCCTGCCCCTGCATACACAGCGTTAGTGCAGCATCACATGAAGGTCTTGGCAATCAGCAGCTTGAATGTAGGTTTAGCATCAGACCTTGCAGAGGTACGAGTGTGGGTCTTGGAGGCTGCCTAAGCCAGCCTATACAGCCTGGAGACGGCTGACCTGCCCTATAGCGAGCTCTGACATGGCTACTCCGTGCTCAGCAGTATCTACAGGCACTTTGGAAAAGAGACTATCAGATTGTCTGCCCCCACTTCAGGCCCCACCATCCAAAGAGTTGCCAAGGTTGTTTGACATGTGTTATGCACTAAAAGCAGTTTGCCAGTGCGGTTATGTCAGCCCCAGAGCTGGCTCCCAGCCTATAAGATCCTGCTCCTCCCTTGCCTTTGGCACAGCACCTTGCCTGGACCACTCTGATGAATTTCTTAAAGGCTGAGCCAGCAAGAAGTGGGACACTGAACTGTTATTATTAACTTTTTAACTCCTTGTACTAGTTCACTCCAAGGTGATTAGTGCTGGTGAAAGGGAGACGGTGCAACACACAGCAAAAAGATGCACATGAACATTGTGTGTCTAGAGGAGAGCTGGTGTATATGTCTGAGCTGCAAGATCAGCTTAGACTGGAATTTGATATGCCCCAAGCCTTCTGCAGGAATATACTGTACAAGAGCTGAGTACCATTACTTGGCAACTAGTAGTATTAGACTATTCATATTACATTTACAGGAAATCCATGAACAAATATTTCTTTTGAACTGTAATAATAACAACAATCTGCTCATCTGAAAGGAAACATGACTGTCTAGCATATGTAACATATGTGTTTGAAGCATATCTGCACTCTCTAGTGAGCATATAGTAGTAAATGTAGTCAGCAGTTTCCAAAAACGGATTGCATTGCTTAGAGTAATAAGTAAAGCAGCAGGCTGTTGTAACTCTGCAATAGTGGGAACGGAAGGGAGGCGCTAGTTGATTCGTGGCTGCCAGAAAGTTAATTCCTGTAAGAAACAGGTGTTTCACAGCAGAGGTAAATAAATAGTTGATAAAATTAGCTACCTGCCACACAGCTATTACTACTAATTATTATAATCTAAGTATACAGACAATTAAGTCATGCTATTTATACAACATTCTGTGCATAAACTCCAAACAACAAAGAAAACAGGATTTCACGACACATATACAATGACATTCAAAACGTACTCCCAAGAAAATGAATACAGTTACAAAAGATCAGCTGTTCCCTGTTTCCTGTTAATTAAGTACAACAAATTAGCAATAAAGGTTGCATTTCCCAGCTTCTGATTCTATTAGCTCGCTATGTCTTAAGTAAGAAACATTTTTGTTTAGTTGGCTACCTTTTTATGATGAACAATCAATTATCCTCATTTAAACTGACCAAGATGTTCACATCATTATTTGTAACGACTGCATCTCAGAAAGATAGGGATTTAATGCAATTATTTAATTTACATTCTTCTGTTTCATAATTCCAAGAAAAAAAAAAAGATAAATAGAACATTTAATGGTAGTAAATTTCCTCAGAAAGTATTCTGCACAAGGCTTGTGGACAGTTCTTTGAGCTAGTGATCATTCCTCAACAAAATATACAGAGCTTCAATGGTGCATTCCTAGTAGAAATCATTAAAATTTTTCCTAAGTTAGTAACAAACCAAGATGTTTTTCTGTGTATTTTCTAATAAATATTGGTAATGTTTGCCAGGAATCAGGAAACTGTCTCACCTTCATCTAAAGGAACCTCCTCCTCCTCACATGGAGAAGGAATAAGGGGCTGCAAAGGTTCCATATTAATTATGAGTTGCTTGTTCAGAGAGGGAGAGCTGCGACTCTGCGTAATGCTGGTTCTAAAAGAACAGGGAAAATAGGGTCAGTTTATTCACAAGAAAAAACAACTAGAGTCAAACAAATGTATGTCATTTTAAAATAATTTTGCAAAAATTATGGTAGGCTTTGAGATAACATAACAAGCTCTTCACAATGAACACTGCTTTGGCCCATCTTATGTTGCACCCTTTGCAGACAAACTTTCCAACATCAGAAGCATAAGAAATGTTTTTGAGCCCTGTGCAGCCTGTCACCTTCTGATCTCATGCACTATTGCAGCATGTTGCTCCTCTCTGCACCACATGGCAGATATGAGTATTTGGCTTCAAGGAAGGCAGAGAGGATATAAATCATTTTGCTGATATCGTTACGTTGCCTCTGGGACTGAGTGAAGGACTTCTTATGGACTGAGCACTGCAATCTAAAGAATACAGCAACAATTCCTTGTACTTAACATATAAACAGAGATTTCATTCTTAAGCACTGCAAACACTGCCTCTAGACCATGTCTTCAGCTGCTCAGCTGGGTTTTCTTTCTTGTTTTACTTGCCTCTAACAGATTTTCCTAATAGCAAGTGTTGAACTTACTCAGGAAATTTTAAGGAATTTTGTTGATTTGCTTCAGCCACATAGTTCACTAGTATAACACCACATCACTGAGAAAATAAAATGATCCTTCAGAATAAATTATCTAGGGCCTACATGTTACAGGCCTGAACCAGGAGCTGAGGCATTACGTTTTAAAATATTTATTTTTGACAGAAGCAAAGATGAAATTAAAGAGAATTCTCTCGAATCTTTGACTTCAAATGGTATATAGATTTGCATTTAGCATAGCCTAGTAATACTGTTCATGTTGTGTTCTCTCCATCCATCCTCAGTTTTCTCTAAATTAGGTTCTGACTCAAAACTGCAGGTGAAAGATAAGGGAGCAAACCCAAGAGCAGAGCTGAAGTTTCATAAGTACATTTCAAGTTCAAAAAAGACAACTTAAAATGACACAGATGAACAAACTGAGTAAAACGTATGGGAAACAAAGAGAAGGGACTGCATGTCACTGAGAGTTTTTGTAAACTAAGGACACAGATGTCCTGTTCTAAGTCACATTACATGTCACTAAATATTCTATGTGGATAAAAAGACTTCTTGTTCAATTACTATGATTCTCCTCTCATTAACATACACCCAAAGCAATATTTGTCCTCAATTGCATTACAAAGAGCAGTCTTTAACAACTACTTAATCTAAATTTTCACTATCCAGAGAAGTTTTCCACTGACATGACTGTTACCTATAATCATTGCAGTCCATACACCTCTGCAGGCTTATTGTCTATCTACTTGATCTTTGTGCTTGTTGAAACAAGCTATGAATCAATTCCGAAAATGGGAACTGTGCCTGCTAACACCTATAAAGTTCCTATTCAGTACTTATTCACAGAGATTCCTCCTTCAAGAATGCCCTGAAGGCAAATACTACTACTACTACTACTACTACTACTACTACTACTGCTAATAACAATAATAATAATAAATTGAAATTAAATTGTTCAGTGTGTATTTGTCAGAAAAAAAACCTGCCACTGTATTAATGCTTTATGACTAAACATTCCAGCAGACTTTCAGTCTACAATTTTTAAATGTAATATCCAAATACAACATTCTACAGGAGCCACCTAAAATTTCTTTCTCTCTAGACATGAAAAGAGGGAGGGAGACATAAAGAGAGAAAGAGAGACAACATAAAGGAAGAAAAAAAATATTTCTTTATACCTACAATCACACAATTTCCTCCAGCTGTTTTGCATCTAAAAAAATGTCATTTTCAGGCTCAAAATCCAAACTTTTTTTTTTTTTTTTGAACTGAAACTATTATAGTCTATGATTTTACCTCTCTATTAAAAGGTCAAGCTATACATCGTTCTTCCCCATTTCAAGACCTGCATCATAAAAAAACTTCACATCACTAGGCTTTTTCTTATTCAGTCTAAAAAGCTGAATTTGAAGGTACCGTAATATTCTAAATGCAATCAATTGTAGGATGGTAATCATAAGAAAATACACGCTCATATTTGTGAGTGTTAAGTCTGTGTGGCATTGCACTATAACTATTCCCAGTCTGATTTGTTTCTTTCTTTACATTGGAAGTTTCAACAATGTACTCCTTATAACACTGAAAGCAAATAAAAACAAAAAAAAGATCCTGCAGAAAGTAGGCAACAAGATACTTTCTTATCTGAGTAGCTAATTTAATTTAAAATTCATTTTTGTGTGCATATATTCTGTCCCAAGGTTGGACTTGTATTCTGATATTCTGCTTTCTGTGTTCCCAGATAACACTGTCTAGGATATCAACTACAGGTTTTTCAAATGTGATCTGCAAAAACATATATAAAACATATCTGCATGGGCTTAATATTTGTTCCATATTATGGCTAGGCAGCATATTATATTTTCTGCAAACATACTTCTATACTTCAACAAAAACAATCCACTTTCCTCTCAAGTGTACATGGAGCTTCCATATTCAAAAATATTTTTAAAAGGCCTCCCCAAACCCTGACAAAAAAAAACCCACAAACACTGTCAAAATAAGGATATAGTTGCAGAATATTCAGAAAATTAAGTAAGAATTTAAAAAAGTTTTTAAATAGCATTATAGTCTCTTTTCTCCTGTGACATATGATAGAAAATGACAAAATGGTTTTAAGCAGCACCAGGAGAGGTTTAGGAAGGGTTTCTTCACAGAAATGTTTTGCCGAGCTCCTCTCCACCATCTCCTGGTTATCTGGAGAGGTCCCAGAGGATTGGAGGCTTGCCAGCGTGACTCTTATCTACAAAAAGGGCTGTAAGGAGGATTGGGGAACTACAGGCCTGTCAGCCTGACCTCGGTACAAGGGAAAGTTACGGAGCAAATCATCTTGGGTGAGATTGCATGGCACGTGTGTGGCATCCAGGGGATCAGGTCCATGAAAGGGTTCAGGAAAGAAAGGTCCTGCTTGACCAACCTCATCTCCTTCTACAATTGGGTGATAAGGGAAACCAACTGGTAGATGAGGGAAAGGCTGTTGATGTAGTCTACCCAAATTTCAGCAAAACCTTTGATATGGTCTCTCACAGTATTCTCGTGGGGAAACTGGCTGCCTGTGGCCTGGACAAGTATATCATTGTTTGGGTAAGGAACTGCCTAGAGGGCCGTGTCCAGTAGGTAGTAATTAATGGAGTTAAATCCACCTGTTGACCCATTACAAGTGGTGTCCCCCAGGAGTCAATACTGGTACCTATCTTATTTAATATCTTTATTGATGACCTGGATAAGGGCATTCAGTGCACCCTCAGTAAATCTGCAGATGACACCAAGTTGGGAGGTAGTGTCGATGTGCCTGAGGGTAGGAAGGCCTTAAGGGGGATATGGACAGGCTAGATAGCTGAGCCTGTGGAGTGAATTTCAACAAGTGCCATGTCCTGCATTTTGGCCACAATAACCCCATGCAGTTCTATAGTCTTGGGGATGAGCGGGTGGATGACTGTAAAGAGGAAAAGGACCTGGGGGTGTTGGTTGACGCTCAGCTGAGCATGAGTTGACAGTGTGTCCAGGTGGTCAAGAGGGCCAATGCCATCCTGGCCTGCATTAGAAATAGTGTGGCCAGCAGGAGCAGGGAGGTGATCATCCCCTGTACTCAGTGCTGGTGAGGGTGCATCTCAAGTATTGTGTTCAGTTTTAGGCCCCTCACTACAAGAAAGACATTGAGGCCCTGGAACATGTCCAGAGAAGGGCAACGAAACTGGTGAGGGGTCTGGAGCACAAGTCTTATGAGCAGCAGCTGAGGGAGCTGGGATTGTTCAGCCTGGAGAAGAGGAGACTCAGGAGAGATCTCATCATTCTCCAGCTTCCGGAAGGGAAGCTGTGGTGAGAAGGGGGTCACCTTCTTCTCCCAGGCAACAAATAGGACCTGAGGAAATGTCCACAAGTTGTGCCAGGGGAGATTTAGATTAGATATAAGGAAACGCATTTTCTCTCCAAGAGTAGTCAGGCACTGGAATGGGGGTGGAGTCACCGTCCCCGGCAGTGTTCAAGATGCATCTGAATGAGGTGCTATGAGATATGGTTTAGTAACTAAGCAGGTAGTAATGGTGATAGGAGGACAGCTGGACTAGCTGATCTTGTAGAACCTTTCCAGCCTTGTGATTCTGTGATTCTGTGATCAAGTACTGGAACAGGCTTTCCATTTATGTGGTGTTCCTGAAGAGATTTTAAGAGATGTGTGGATGCGGAACTACCATGTCATGAGATTCAGTAGGTAAAGATCGTTGGACTTGATGATCTTGAAGGTCTTTTCCGACCTAGATGATTCTATGAAATCTAATTTTCTTGCTAGCTTCTTCTCTTCAGAAAGAATTTGTTATCTTTAATTAGGTTTTGACTGCTTACATTGTCAGGGCAATAAGTGATGAACACTAAAAAGAATTAGTTTGCTCATAAAGTCCAGATGATTACTTCTAACAAATCAACTTTTTTTTTTTCTTAAAGAATGAACATTCTTTAAGCTTACTGGACTATGAAAGAGCTATTAAGTATACCTTTAAATATTCCCATATGTGTAAACGAAACAGAATCTTTTGAAACTGGAAAAGAATGGGGAAATAAATGACATTGTACTTATCTGTCAAAATCATGTAAGATTCCATGTCCAAACACAGAAAATAATACAAGCTAATTATCTAGCCAATTAAAGCTAGCTTCAAAGCAGCACAAATTAGCTTCCCTTGTGTAGGAGACAATACACAACTGTCAAAATTTTCTGTCACAGCCAACACTTATTTCCAAATGTCTCAGTATGGAGGTTCAGAATAACAGTCACTACACCCCACAGAAGAGAAAAGAGAATGTCTCTGCAGAGTGCAGAAATTCTCTTTTGTCCTCAAACTGTAATATTAAATGTCTAGACATACCTGTGAACTTCCGGAGGTTCCCTCTGGATTTTAGAGCTTGCCTCCACCACCTCTTTGGCTACTTTTCCACTGCATTAAAATATGTATTATACATTCAAGCAAATAAATACTAAGGTGAGCTCATTATATGACAAGAACTATACATGCATGAATAATTTATGTATTTTTTAAAAAAGAAAATGAAAAAAACAAAAAATGTCTAAAATTTAAAATTCTGCTGATAAATTATCTGTAAAGCTACTGAAGAAAAAGTAGCCTCTTGTAATTGAATGTTATGTGTTACTTAGACCAACCCAGTAATATAGCCCTCTTCCAAAGCTGTCCAGCAACACTGCTCTGTATTGAACATGATCTATGATAGCCATGCATCCTTGTTTCTTAGAAGCTACACCAAAACCGGGACCCCATTACGGTGGAACTGCTCTTTGACAAGTCAATACAAACTAATTTTAATCCTGGCCTGAAGTAGGTTTGAAAAGGTCCTCAGGAAGGAAAAGTTTTCAATTTGCCAAAATTAATAACTGGGTTTTTGTTTGTTTTTTAACTTTCTAAAATAGTTTAACAAGAAAAAGAAATAGGAAGCACCCACCTGTAACGAAATCTGCTGCCTTTAAAAAATATTTTGCTGCTGGACATGGTCTTAATCTGGCTGGATTTTGCATACCTTGATGAAAAAGAACAAAGACTGTTATATTTTCAGCACTGAAGAAACTGGATATGCAAAACTGAACAAGTTCATTTACAATTTGTGCTATTTTTATACAACAAAGTAGTACTCAATAATTTGACTTACCAACATTTTTTAGACCTATAAATGGATTTGTATATGAAGTGCCACACAAAACAATTCAAACAGTGCAGAATAACTGAACATAAAGTGAGAGATTACCTGGGTAGGAAAACATGAAAATGAAAAGCAAACGCTGCATCTCTAAGGACTCATTGTTAAGACAAAAGAAAGATTGCAATAAGCCAACAACCCCTAGGCCAATTTTACTCTAAGAGAAGACAATATGGCTATCATTTCCACTTTTCCACTGATCAAACAAATAAAGAATACAGAAGCAGTATATTTATCTCTAAAAACAGGTGCATTTATGGTGTCTCTATGCTGTCAACTTTAAGGAGTTTGCACTCTTCCATAACCATAAAGTATGTAGCAAACTTTTATCTCAACAATCAGAGACCTACAACAATCACTGAAGAGTAGAACCTCAGGCATGCTATTTTTTTGATGTTCGGTGGCTTCAAAATGGCAAACTGATTTCATTTTAGTCTCTCATTCTCAGATCCTATGATTCTATGGCTTGTAAGTAGTTGAAAATAATCACAACCATTAACTGAGAGCCTGGACTGAGTCATAACTAAAACAATTTTTCGTCGTAGAGATGAATTAGCAGCTTTATTGTAGTACCTCATATTTCTGGCATTCCCACTGAATATATTAATTGAATTAGAAGGATACATTATCAGTATTAAAATATAAGAAAGAATCTCCTCCAAAATAAAGCAAGTTATTAACGTTCATGGTAGAAGATACATTCTTCCCGTGCAGTTATGGGTAAGAGTAAGGATACCCCTTACACCATCCTCTTTGTGTTACTATGTCCCTTACAAAGAAAGTTTTTTAATAAAAATAATAATGCAATAGTATGAGAAGAGACTAAGTGGCAGAAAAAACTACCCACCCAAAAGGAAGCGTTTCTAAACAAAAGTTCAATACCATATCCATCCAACATCACCTTTCAGTTTCTAAACACTTTGTAATACTGGCTTCTAATAAACATGCGTTTTAATAATAAAATTCTCTAACAAGCATTCTCAGAACATGCATATTTTTTGTTTTCATTTTGAATTCTGATAATGAAACAGAACATTTCATTTTGAATAATCTTCTAGTGATGCACATATTCTTTTCATTTTAGTATAGATGAAGACTGCAGTTTTACTTACTTATAAAAAGCCTGGTTCTCCACCCCGCATTTCCAAAGATGCTTGCAGGCTGCTGGTGTTGAGGTATGGAATGTCAGTACAGCCTTTTTCTATATGCAAGAAAAAGAAGACAAATAAAACAAACAAACTTTTGAAATCTGAAAAAAATGAAGCATTCATACCTAATGGCTATCAGTAATAATCAGATAAACTGAAGACCAAGTTTTCCTGTGTATCCTCCATCTATAGTTCACTAAAAGAAATATATACCATATGTGGCTGGTAATCAAACTACTTGGACAAATTTTTCAGAAATAAAAAGGAACGCTCTGAAGGGGTAGAGAAGAACATATATATAAGTGACTTCTGAGATAAATCTCTCCTGACAGCCGTCAGCCCCAAATCAAAGTCTTTCTGTTAATATTCCACTATTATAGAGTTACTGCACTGCTTAACCACCTACTTCTCCCCTGTTCACTATGTCCTATCACCAAATCCTTCTTGCTACCATACAAACAGCTCCTGCTACTTCAGGTATTGCTTCCTTCCACCATTTTCTTCACTCAGACTGCATCCAAAGCCATAATACTGGGCTAAATCACTCTGCCCATGGGAAAGCACTGATTAGAGCATGTTGCAGGGAAAATTGCCACAATTTTAATTGTAAGAGTCCAATGACAGTACTCTAATTAAGAAAGATTTCATCCTATCTAGCTGAGCAAAATTTGAGAAAGTGATCCTAAAAAGATGAAAATATTTTTCTCTGATCCAGGATTCAATACCCATGAGGGTTCATGCTTTAGAGTAGGCAGGTAGAGCTTTAGTGTTATAAAAACCATTAAAACTTGGCTACACAGACAATCAAAACCAGGTGCAATCAACTCATCGCTGCCTGCAGGTTTAGTAAGACACATCTCAATCCCTTGCAAATAAGACACTCTTCTGACAATCAACAATATTCACATTCATTTGCATTCCATTTTAGAAAATATATATTTATAATTATCATCATTCTTCATAGAAGTTTATGTTTGGTTAAGAATGATATTTAAGTCGACTCTAAATCAAATACAGAATTCCTGTAAAAATATTAAACCTGACCTCTTTCTGAGCTCCAAACACATAAAAAGTCTTCCCTTCAAATTTCAGCTTATAGACATCACACCTAGAAAGAGAAAAATGATTTACTGTAGACAACAGACAGAACTGCAGGTAAGAAAATTTGCACGCAGACCTCACTGATTCACAAACATTAAGGAGGCTTTAAATAGACAAAAGCTTCAGGAGAGGCCTTTAGCATAAAATCTTCAGCATAAAACATTCAGCATAAAAGTATGTAATATTCTGATTTCTTGTAGAGCAGGGAAAATAAGCAAAGTATTTGTTTTACAACCCTGTGCACCTGCAAAAAATTCATTTGGGATGTTGGAAAAGAAACAGGGTTGACAGCACTTATTTCTGGATCTTGTGTGTTGCTATCCAGTGTTATAATTTAACCCAGGTTCAAAGCACTAGATATGGAATAATGCTGCACTGCATTAAGACAATACAATTATCTCTGAATTAAATTGCAACTGAAATTTTATCATTACCAGAGCAGAGATGAAAACACTGTAGTTTCTCAAACTTCCCTGAAGACTCTGGATGATGCAGAATTGAAATGGGAATGACTCTGGAGGTAAGGAGGATGCTATTCCAAAAATTTTCTAACAAGTATTTTACTTTAACATTTATCAATAGCAACAAAAAAGTCCAATTTCAGTAGAAGGATAGAAAGATTCAACACCAATGTAATTTGGCAGGCAGGTTACAAAGATGCAATATGCTTTAGAACCTTATACAGAAATCAGTCAGATCCTGAATTGAAAATTGTGCATGAAATAAACACCTGTAAGCAAAAATAAGACAGTAAGTCAAAGGCAAACCAGGAATCCAAAGACACTTTTGTTGAGCCAGTGCACTAATACAATATATTACCAATACCTTACTGTGACAGTAATTTACAGAACCAATCTCTTTTCAAAAACCCAGCACAAACTAAAGCATACAGTATATTTTGCTACTTTTTATTATCATACTCTTTTGGCATGTCTACCATAAATAATGCCCTCTGTAATGAATAGTTGTCAGTCTTCAAAATCTATTGAGATTTTTGGGACAAGATCAGTAAGATCAGAAGACAAGGAAATATCAAATATGAATTTGGATTTTACTGAGTGGTGTAAATATCAGCTAATACCAGTGAAAGCTACTGAGCTCTAGGTTTTATAAACGAAAAGTACAAGCATCACACTGTATCTAGATCAATCCCAACAGATCAACCTTCCAATAGCCAGCATAACATTGAGACAACTTCATGAATTTTCATCTATCAATATTTTATTTTGTTTCCATGCCAATGGGCTAAATGAATACACAAAAATCTTCAAAAAGTCACCTTCCCTTGCATGGAAACAAGAAAAATAAAGCACTCAAGCTCAATTCTCATGGTGGATATAAGCCTCGCAAAAGATACTCTCTCCTTCTGTCATAGAATGGCACTATATCAGGACACGATGCCAAAAGCACATACTACTTAAACATTCTTACTAGAGCAACCTGATAGTAACCCTAGGGAAACTACAACATGAATTCAGGGTCACAAATGCTCAGTATTTGACGAACATCCCCAGAGCTGCATAGAGAAATGTGTGTTACATGTACAACTACACTGACTTTAAACCCCTGAGGATTTCTTATTATTCAGCTCTCAGGGAGATTTCTATAGGTGTAGGAGAGCCCATCTTTATGTAAATAGCTGCCTCACCATTTCCTCATCTCCAGCCCATCTCCTTCCCACAAGAAAGGCTGAGAGTGCTTCTAAGTTTCTGATGTTGGCACCAGCTTAGCAACTGGACCAAAATGAGATTCATGAACTTCTCAGCATGCCTGTACACACTCTGCACCACACTGCTGAGAGTACAGACATCTCCTGTTGCCCCGTTTGGAGAAGCTCAGTTTTATCTCTCCCTTAAACATGGCTGAGGCTGCAAAACTAAGTCAAATATGTTAAAGGAAAGAGGTGGGGGACTGGGGGAGAAGAAGTGAAAAGGAGGAAAAAGAAGGGGAAAAAAAGACCCTCCCTTAAGGAAAAAAAAAAAAAAAAAAAAAAAAATTAAAAAAAGAGGGAAGGACAAAGCAAAAAGAGAAAGTCCAGTTCTGGGCCCTCCAGTGCAAGAAGAAGAACATCAAGCTGCTGGAGCATATCTAGAGGAGGGCCATGAATATGATCAGAGGGCTGGAGCACATCCCCTGTCAGGACAGGCTGAGAGAGCTGGGGCTTTTCAGCCTAAAGAGAAGACTGCAGAGGGACTTTATAGCAGCCTTCCAGTACCTGAAAGGGGCCTACAGGAAAGCTGGGGAGGGACTTTTTAAAAGAGCATGTAGTACAGGACGAGGGGAAATAATTTTAAACTAGAAGAGGGTAGATTGAAACTACATATCTGCTTATCAAGTACTGTTTTTTAATTGAAGGTAGTTAATTGAATGAGGAAACAATCAGATTTTTAAGAGCATATAAAAACCATATAAAAGCACAGGTGGACTTTTGTAAACTTTTCCAGACATCTCTGTCAATACACTTCACTGGTGATTTACAGCAGAGCTGAAAAATCAGCTTACTCATTTTAGCATTTTTACATTACGTTGACTATTGTGCTGTGTTAAATCATTTTCATTGGAGGAAGAACAAAATCAAATTATTCTGCCTTTTATTAGAGGTCCTCTAAAAAAGAAAACATGATGAGGCAAGAGAAGAAATATCCAAGTGGTTCACCTTAAAGATACGGGTGAAAATAATGGAAAGAAAGGAAGACACAGGTGAAAAGAAGAATCTTCCATATTAATGCACTCTTACATGCTTACCATTTTAATAAATGAATTCGTTTGTTCCCCTGGAAAACTACAAATCCTGCAGCTGTGAATCCTAAAAACGTAGTTGTTCCTGTTGAGTCCTTGAAAGAGAAAAAAGAAATATAATTTGCCTTTATCCAGTGAGACATCTGTTACTAATGCAGAAGTTATAATTACATTATAGGCTACCTGTATTTTATTTTCCTTTTCAAAACAAAATGTCTTCCAAGTCGTACACTTCAAAGCAACAAATACTTAATAAAAATAGAGGTGAAACAAGTCTCATATATGCCTACATGTTTAACAGACTAACAGAATTTCTAATGTGATGGTACTTTTAAAAAACAACATTTATTAAAGTAAGCAAGTGCTCTCGAATATAAACCAGAATATTTAGTAGCCTTTAAGCTTATGAAATGCCATTAAAAAAAAAAAAAAAAAAATTACTTACATAATAGAAGTTCTGCCCTAACTTTTCTGAGCGAAGAATCGAGTAAGTTTGGTATTAACTGGAGTTCCTGCCCATTCCAAGTCCCAGACCCTTACCTTGTTAAAGTATATTGGGTTTATTGTGCCTTATGCTCAATCAATCAGGAAGATAAGAATAATCAGAAACTAATTTTTTTCTTGAGAAAGAGCTGAACAACTGCAAGGAACATCTTGCAAGGGGCCACTGTGCATTGTATCTTACTTCCAGAAGTCTAAAAACTTTTCCATCATTTCAGGCCATGAACTCCTGCATGTTCCCACTTCATAAGTCCTGCTACATAGAGAGAAGGTGCTGAATGAATTCTCATTCTGTCCTAAGTGTCAGCATGAGGCATCCTCCGAAAACTACAGCTTTGAACTAAAGTTTACAATGTCACTGACTTCACTCGTCTCTGAATCAGACCTGTATTTCACACAAGAACAACACTCCAAGCATAGTATATATGAAATCTGAAGCAGCTTTATGTTAGAGGTAACTGCTTGAGGGCATTCATCATCAAAGCAGCCAAATAGGCAGCAGTGCACATTTCTGCTCCTTAACCAAATTAGACAGTATACAAGGTGGACTACAATCAAAGGCAGCAATTAAAAAATGAAGCAGCAAACATTAAAAATTAACAGACTGTAGAGTATGTGGATAAAACCAAGTAATTACAAATGTAGGTGTAAGGGACGATCAGAACTGGAAGTCGCCTTCCATAAAGAACCACAAAACAATCACTTAATTTGCTGTTCTTCGTAAGACTTACATATTTTGATGGTATTTGAAAAACTATTCTGCCAAGGACTAATAATTTGCTTCAACTTCTGGACAACAGTAAGCCTGAATCTTGTAATTCCTGGCAAGCAAGTATTTAATACCTGAGCATCTATGAAACCTTTGCAGTAAGTGCAAAGAAACTATCAAGCATAGTCATAATTTCTGACTTGACACTACTATATCTTCCTGCCAGTCTGGTTCTTCTGCAGAGACCTTTTCTTTCGTTGTTGCATGGATTCAAATGTACTTCGGCTTAAATGCAGTACTAGGGATAAGTTCTTTTATAACTGACTCCCTGTTTATATCTAAAAAAAATAAATAAAAACATACAGATCTAAATAAATTCAATTAATGGCTTTTTATTAAATGTTACTAGTTTAAAAAAAAAAAAAAAAAAAAAAAAAACTTGTTACCTTGCAAGGATGAGGATCAACACCATAAGTTTCTAATGAATGTGCTTTCAGGAGCAACTTAAATTCAGAAACAGCTGGGCTCTGACCTCTGGAAAGAAAAATTCTTTATCAAATATAAACAATTTCAACAATGTTCAGTTTATAATGTAAAGATATAAAACTTTAATGTCACTTCTGGAACTAACCTACCCAATGCTGCATCTTTTCAGGTAAATTCTTTTAACATTTGTTGGATACAAGCACATTATGCAGTTAACCAGAGTCATCTAACATCTTGCAGATATCTCTCGTTTTTTGATACACATCAAAAGAAGCACATCACCCTGAATATTAAGGAAGCTTCCGCATCTCTTTTCCACAAACTTTTTCTCCCAAACTCGTCTAAAAGGATTGTCCAGATTAACAAACATTCCTTCCAGCACAGGGCATAAACACAGCAATCATATTACGGTTCACTCAGCACACCTAATTATAGCAGTGCTTGTTACCACCGTGATAGTTTAGAATCTGTCAGCATTTCCATTATATGTCCCTATTTTTAGGATGTCTAGAAGCAATTGTCAAAGCCTCAAACATGGCATGCAAACTTGATTTATGAAGTTTTATTGTTTTGTTTTAGTTCCTCTAAGTCGTGTTACTCTCAGCCCGAGTGCTGTTATGACAGTGAGCCGTTCTGAGCATTATTCTGTTCAGATATTTGTATGACTAAAGAACTTGACTCTGACAGATATACAGTTTTATGACAAGCACTGCTCAGGACCTTTAGAAAGCTAGGCCTCATAAATCCTTCTCATACGCATTATCCCAGAAATGGAGCACTGACAGTTCTTCAAGAAACACAAGAATGGCCATACTTAATCGTACCTCTTCACTTTGACTCCCATTCTCACTCTTTTTCCTGTGCCACAAAGGAATGAGCACAGACAAACATTCAGTGCAATGATGTAGAATAATTTCCCTTGTAGCAGTTTCTGCCATCCCTAGAACAACTGAAAATTAAAAGACTCTGACATACAAGTTTCAGCAACCAGCCCAAAATTCATCTGAACTCTGAAGATGATTCCAGCATACTTACGGATATCAAATTCTATTTTGAATCTACCACATTAACGCCCTGTGGCGATATCAGTATAATCAACTTTTGTTGTTAAAAGTTTTTAACTCATTCTCATCTGGACTCCACTGTCTTTTAATTCCCAATACGGCTTTTGGACCTACTTGATACTACAATACTTGCATTTTATTTTTTTTTTTATATTAAAAAACCACCAAAATTAAAGAATTGCATTTCTCCTTCCTTCACCAATATCTAATAGAGAAGAGCATGTGTCAAAGGGAACACGAAAAACCGGAAATGTGCATATGTACAGCTACATATTTAAAATAACAGCATGAAAGTAACAAACAAAACCAAACACGCTTATTTTGCCCAATTACCTTTTTGATGGTTCCATTAGACATTTCCTGTTCATTTTCAATACCAATAAATCATAATTGTTGAGCTCTGATAGAGCAAGTTTTTTCATGTACCTACCAACTGCAAAGAATGGAAGTAATTAACTAAATCTAATTTACTTGAATCGCTTGTGCTGCATAGGGAGAAGTCAAACAAATGAAAGACCTGATTGCTGATCAGAAGCTAAGCCATACAGAAAAATAATACCTTATAAAACCAATTTTTTCATAACTTCCTTTACTGACACAAAGGAAAGTAGTCATGATAAATGTACAAGGAAAGTAGAAGTGATAAATAATTAGAAATAATGTGATTTGTACATTTGAGTTGTTTGGATCTGGCATTTCCAGAAGTGAAAAAAGCACTACTACCTTGCAATCATTATTAAAGCAAGAGGACACACTAATAAACAGAATTATCATGCTCTCACCTAGTCTTCGGAACTATGCTATCTTTCTGCATGTCAGGTGGAAAGAGCTGCAGAGCTGTGATACTTGAAAACAAGGAGACAAAATTTGCAAGTTTGATGCTATCAGATTACAGGCAAATAAAATGGCTATTGTGGGCAGCTTTAAGAGAACAGCACAAAGCAGAAGAGATCTGTGAAATATGAAATGAAAAATAAATTCCTGGCTCATCTTTTACCAAGGGAATAACATTCAACCTTCATAATATGCTTTTCACTTGTAACTTAGTAATGAAACTTTCTTTAATAAATAAAAAGCTATCTGTAGCAAATACTATCAGCAAACAAAAGCCAGCCTTTAATGTTAATCACTAATTTCACAATAGATACACCTTTTATTGGCTTTGCTGAAAAGCCTTTAAAGTTTCTATTCAAAACAAACAACCTCTCACATTAAAAACCAGGGTCCTGCAGGAGTGGCCTCTGTGAAAGCAGAGCCCAGCAGATGCCCCATGTTAGAATAGAGCCAGCTCCAGTTGCTCCCAAAGACACCCACTACTGCCAGAGCTGAGCCATGACTGATGCTTGGGTGTGCCTCTGGGAAAGGAGATTTAAGGAAAGGAAAAACTGCTGCAACACAGCAGCTGGAAAAGAGAATGAGAAATGTGAGGCAACAGCCCTACAGCCCCAGGGTCAGTGCAGGGGGAGGGTAAGAGGAGCTCCAGGCTCCTTGCAGCCCAGGAGAGGCCCATAGAGGAGCAGTTTGTTCCCTGCATCCCACAGGCACTATGTGGAGCAGATCTCCACATGCAGACATAGAGGAGCCCGCGGGACAGCAGTCAGTGCAGCCTGTATGAGGGGATGCAGCCCATGAAGTAAAGGAAAGGAAAAGTAAAGGAAAGTAAAGTCACTCCTTTTGACCTTATGTGATTACCTCAGCTTAGTCAATATGTATTCAATACTGAACTGAAGATGAATCCCATTTTTATATGTCGCAACCATTCTAGTAGCCAGCTCCCTCAAGACAAAGTTTTTCAGCAGGACCAGTAACATATTACAAAGAAAATCTTCAGTAGAATTGAATAAATAATAAATAAGAAAAATAAAGAAATAAAAGAAGAATTATCTGTAAAATTAGTCCTCCACAGCTATTAGCAATGAATTAATTATTCATGCCAGGAATCAATCAATCAATCAAAGAGTTCCTAATAAAATTTTTATCAAACTATTTAGTAAGACTGAGAAGTCTGCAGCAGGCTTTATTTTTAACTTTAGGCTCATGAGGATTGCACACAAGAGGATGCACAATATCTGTTTATTCCCCAGAGAGCCCCCAGCCCTGAAGCATTTCAAAGACCAGGATGCACACCAGGGAATACTTTCAAGATCGTCAAATGATATATTTGCTTTGTTGACTGATTCTAGAATCTTCTCCCCTTAATATCTTTCATTTGAGGTGACCTGATGCCCATGATTAAGCATCAATTCCTTTCAATAAATGGAGATTATATAGCAATAACAGCAAAAAGCATTTTCAATGTCATTCTCAGTGCCATTTTGACTGACCCTTGTTGAGTCATTTTATTTGTGTTCTGTGATTTCTCTTACTGATTTATGAAGTGCTTTGAAACGCTGTTAACCTACTTTAATACATCACTGTTAATAAAAAGTATAACTATTCTGCACCCTTTGTTTCATTTTTGCTTATCAAAGTTACCAGCTGGAGAATACAGTGGATTCACAGTACTTGTGCATGCCCCATGAAGAAACCATTTCTGGATGTTTATGGTTTGAAGGGTTTTGAAAGGTAATTAATTCACAGAATTAAATCTGTACATAACAATTTGGCTTCAAGAAATGCTTCCTATACCTCTCTTTACAAACCTGGAAAAAAACAAACAAAAAACCCAAAGTCATAAAACTTTAAATAACTTGGTTCAGCCTCCACCAAATATCCTGTGCCTTGCCTCAGAACATCCTTCACTGCAGTCTCAGGAGAGACAACACTGACTATTTAAGTGATGATGCCCACCTATGAAATCCTGTCCTTGCTATATCCCAGATCCTGCACAAAGCATCCTCCAGCAGAACAAGGGCTGGATTTCCTTTAGAGAAGCCTGAATTATGCATAAAGAAATTATGCTTTTAGTTATGTCATATACTGATTTCAGAGCTACCTAGCACAAGGCGAAGATTTCCTGTTACTTTAAACCTACAAGTGATTGAGCCTCTAACAGTTATAGAATTATAGCGCTAAAAATCCTGAGTAGTTCTACTTTTGATCTAAGCTCAGAAGATTTTAGCAGACATCAGAGATGCTTTTCATACAGTCTGTCTGCTAATACTTTGGACAGTGAAGATGCTTAGAACTGACTGGTATTAAAACACGACTTAAATTTACTAAAATTCACCCGTGCAACCTGGCTCTACCCCTTTTTGACCTCATTTTAAGGGCTGACAGCCACTGAGGAAGGATCTTTTGCTGGAGAGCCCTCCTTCGTGCAGTCTTCCTGTGAGCCTAGATTTCTGAATTTGGGTGAGCATCTTTCTGTCTCTCTCTTTTTTTTTTTCTTTTTTTTCTTTTTTTTTTTTTTATGTAACACCTTCTCACTGTGCATATCCAAGACTGATCCTGCTGCCTTCACACCCAGATAAAGAAGTTGTGGAGAGGCAGGTCAGAAGCGGATGAAGAAATTCCTATAGTTTGGGAATTCCTATGTACAGATGAATACATGAGTAGGCTAAATGTGGAATCTGAATCAAAATCTCACCATGAGAATGGAAAGAACTAGCTTAGTAAAAAAACAACAACACTGGTGGAGCAGAGTTATGACTGCTATTTCCAAGAGAAAAATAAAAAGAGGAGGGAGAAGCACCTACACAATACTGGTATTACAGTAATACAAACTACGTTTTTCAATTAAAATAAACTATACCTCCTATTGAATTTCTGGAATTCTCACCAAAAACAGAAAAATGACATGGATTGATCATGTTTTGTTTTTTCACTGACTCAGAAAGACCTTTAGGAAGAGATAAGAGAGGAAAAATATATCTGGTTTGTCTGTGAAGAATCACCTTTTAGATTACTTCTGTGACTACATCTTCCATAAGGTGTAAACTTGCTCCTCACCATAATGCTTCTGGAAATATTCTCTATGCCATGAAAACACCAAGGTGAAAAGCAGTATCCCACTCCTACCAGTGCGTCCAGAACACAGGTAAT